TGATCTGAGACCAGCTGATCCTTCACCAACACGAAATATAAGGTTTTCACAGTGAACACCCCATTCCTGCACTCTTTCTTTCCACCACAGCCCATCCCTTGAAGAGGATGAAACCTTAACCTTCTGTAACTTTTCCAGCAACTGAATACATTCTTCTATCTCCTGATCCAGCAGGGGTCAGGGTTCTTCTGAATCTGGGGAACCATACAATCTGATCTCCCTCAGTTCAAAGCTTTGATCAACTTTAATGTGATGCTCAGTCAACTTGTAAAGCTTCGGTCACATATCACACAGCTTCTCTACTTCACACCACTCATCCTCCCAAAATCTTATCCTTGACCCATCACCCAACCTAACGGTCCTAATTGATTCTTTAAACTCTTGATTGAACAGCATTATCCCTTTCCAGATACCCATAAGAGTTGGAGACCTCCCTTGACTCCCACCCAAACCTCACCAACCCGTACCTCCCAACTACAACCCTCCTCCAAAGAGACTCCATCTCCCTTTCTAGCCCAAACCTCCAAAGCCACTTATCCAAAAGGGCCTTGTTGAAAATTTTGACCCTCCTAATACCCAAACCACCATTCCCTTTTGGCCTATATACCTTGTCCCACTTCTCCAGATGAAACTTCTTAGCTCCCCCAGCCCCTTCCCACAAGAAATTCCTCTGAAGATTCTCAAATTTTTCCGCCATCTTTGCTGGAATCTTCAATAAGGACAGATAATAAATCTGTAAACTAGAAAGAACACTCCTAACTAGTGTAATTCTGCCCCCTAGAGAAAGATATTTTGCTTTCCAGCTCTCCAACCTCTTCTCCATTCTTTCAATTACTGGCCTCCATATTTCTACTTTAGAAGCTTACCCTACTGGAAGGCCCAAATAAAGGAAAGGCAACTCCCCAACTTGTCATTCGAACACCACTGCAAACTGATCCAGCTCCTCCCTCCTTACTTCCCCACCCCAATCAGCAAGCTCTTAGCTAGGTTAACTTTGAAACCTGTGAGCATCTCAAAGTTAGCCAAAATGGCCCTAAGATTCAGCACCTGATCCACTGAGCATTTCTTCATGTGGAAGAAATAGGTATGGTTGTGTGGGGAATATCCTTACTTGACCTGATTAGGAAACCTTCTCCTATATGTATGTGGAGCTGTCAACATTCCAGATCAACCTAACAGACCTGAACTGGTCATACACAAACATGCATGCATGTGTTGTGGAAGAGAGAGACAATGGGGTCTGGTGTGTATTCTTATTGATTTGGGACCAGACCAACTCACCAACCTTAATCCAGCCCATTTATATGCATGTTTGCTTGTTGAGTTGTTTAGAAAGAACTTGAACAACCATYGTGTCTTACACATGGCAACATTGTTTGAGGTGCAAAGGAACTCTATCTTTTCACTCCCTACTCATAGAAGAAGTTTAAGCTTGAAAGTCATAGCCACACACAATTTTAGAACAAGTTCTTTTATGTGGGAAGCTTTGAAACTTTTTTTTGTAACCTTGAACAATCAATATTAATCACGGAAAGTCCAATACATGGTGGGGTGTATGCTGATTGGACAGTGGAGTTGGGTAGGTTGCTTATCCATAGGGTCCCTATCCAGGTTTGGCTACATAGCCCTCCAAGTTTGCCTGAGATTTGCTAAATTGAATTGATAACAATTAAAGGAGATTTGAGAAATGATATCTCGTAGACAGAATGTGGACAGTGGCCATTGGAGATTACCACATTTCCTGGATGAAATTAGAGAACTTCTTTCTCAGATAAATGCCCAGATCCATAGGATCCCAAGGGGTCTTAATCTGGTAGCTGACATGTAAGCTAAATCATGGTAGTTGTTGTTAAGGGTGTAGGGACCAGTTTTGAAAAGACTATTCAGATTCTGGAAACTAGTTCTTTAGTTCCATACTCGTGAATCAGAAATTCTACAGAACCCTAGGGTTCTAGTTCTTGGTTGTCAATGCTTGAATCCTGAGAAAGATAGTTACCTTGTAGTAAGTTTTTCTTTACACATTTTTCTTGTATCTCCATTTCTGTTCTTGAATTTGATCTTCTGTATTGGTGTTCTGTGGCAGGTTACGTCGAAGCACCTTAAAGGAGGGAAGGAATCAAAGATGGATGTTCTAGTTATGGAGAATCTTCTTTTTGGACGGAATGTTACAAGACTTTATGACCTTAAGGGATCTTCGCGGTCACGGTATAATCCAGATTCAAGTGGAACTAATAAAGTTCTGTTGGATCAGAATCTGATCGAAGCGATGCCAACTTCTCCTATTTTTGTGGGAAACAAGGCGAAGCGGTTGCTGGAGAGAGCTGTTTGGAATGATACTTCTTTTCTCGCGGTAACCTTAAGAACCAATCATTGATATTAATGGGTTCAAGTATTACATAAACCATTTACAAATTAGGTTCTTGCTCTTGGTGGTTTTGGCGTTGCACTCTAACTGTGTAATCATAGGTTTCTTGAGTTCTGAGGTACCTGATGCCAAAACTAAGAGGGTCTTTAAAAATTTCACCTTTAGCCTAGGCAGATTGCAAACCATACCATGCTCCAATAGTGATTCAACTCCTTTGGGTTTTAGACTTTTAGTTCAACAAAACTTTGCTTCAATTAAAGTGACCCAAGAAAAAAATTAAAATAAAACAGACCAAAAGTTGGGCTACTTGCTGCAATATATCTAGGTTTAAAGCAGCATGGTTTCATCTAATTTTGTTTGCATATTCCTGAACAGCCCAGAGTGACAGCTTTAGGTAAACTGAGAGCAGACACAAGTAGTGGGGATCAGTCTATTGAAGAAAAAAGCTAAGGCTGATTAGATTATTGCCCCATCTTTGTCATATTTGTTTGGATGGTCTGCAAAACTGTTGGCAATGATCTTTTGACTAGGTTGACCTTAGCATTGGAGAGAAGCTAGGTGGTTTAGGTAAAACACTGGCTTCATCTCCCTTTTCCAGAAGTTACCGGAAAGGGTGCATTAGATTCCTTCCCTTGATATATCCTGTGAAGACTCTAGGTTTCCTTTTGTCTTTGGTATCTTGAATGATCATTAATCAAATTGACATTCTCATAATCACTTTGGGAAAAGGGAAAACTCTTTCTATTTTTATTATTGTGTATTCTGCAGTTTGCTGGAATTGGCTGACACCTAGTATCCTTAACTGGCTGCAAAATTTTGTTTTTTCCAAGTTACATGTTTTTGAGGACTGCTTTGCAGTATGTCTTTTTGATCTGTAATTCACATTCATTTCATGGCAGTCCATTGATGTAATGGATTACTCTTTATTGGTTGGGGTGGACGAAGAGAAGCACGAGCTGGTTCTTGGGATAATTGATTTCATGAGGCAGTACACATGGGACAAGCACCTTGAGACGTGGGTGAAGGCTTCAGGCATCCTTGGTGGGCCAAAGAATTCATCTCCTACTGTAATCTCGCCTAAACAATACAAGAAACGGTTCAGGAAAGCTATGTCTGCATATTTTCTTATGGTACCAGATCAGTGGTCCCCTCCAACCATCATCCCCAGCAGGTCTCAATCGGATCTCTGTGAAGAGAACACACAAGGTGGGACCTCCTTTGAGTGATAGTACAAAACAAGTTTACCTGTATATGTCTGGATGTAAGTTGGAAATCAATGATCTCTCTTTTTGTTTTGTTTATTTTTTCTGTTTTTCTTTCCCCCCTTTTCTTTTCTTTTCTACTTGCCTTTTTTTTTTCATGTTTTTCCATTGTAAATTTTTTGGATGGCAGCCTCATTGCTATTCTTAGAAAATGTATAAAAAAATTTGATAGAAAGAGCAGAACAAGGTTGGCTGGCTAATGCCAAGAAATTCTCGACGAGGTATAAATATTAGATGACCTCTCGGTGAGTTAGGTGTACAAGAACATCTTTGTTCATATTCTTATTTTACTTATAATATATATCACGTTATACCGTCAGATTTCTGTGCATGGGTTTGGTATTGGTATTACATGTATCATTCTTCCCATTTCCAAGGAGCTTCTCTGTTCTGATTATTTAGGGTGTTTTGGATCGAGGTTTCCAGCAAAGCCTAACTTCACTCAATTGGATAATGATATAGATTTGTTTTCCTACATTGCATTTGCAAAACGGCGAAATCTCCGCCATTGTTGCTAGGCATTCTTAGGCCTGCTTTTAGCTTTTAGCCTTTTGTGTGATTCTCAAATGAGAAGTGTGAAAGTGCAACCACCAGATATGCCCTTCATTGTTTTGTGTAGTGGGAACAACAAGGACGTTTGTACTAAAGATTTCTTGGTGATACGCCTGATCTCCCATAGGGGCTGTTTTGAGTAGCTCGGCACCACACTTATAACCCCCCTCTCCAAATTTGGTGGTAGTGGGATTCGAATCCCGACTTGTAATAGAATAGGAGATATGCAGGGAAGACATTTGAATTTGGTAATCAGAAACAGTGATCTGCATTTCTGGACTCTGAACCATATATCTTTCTATTGCATTTCTGATCGTCTGCAAGGGGCCCAGTTCCAGTAAATATTCATGATTACTCGAGACCAGAAGATGTACATGACTACATATAACATAGGTAATAGGTGCCATGCATATCATCATCATCATCTAAATAAATGTTTACAACCCCTATATGATAAATGGGTATTCCAATGTGTCGCTAGTTTTCAAAATCAAGCAATAAATCTTTTCTTCTGTAAACTTTTAAGGAGCGCAGCTAGTCTGTTTCCTTGACAAGTGCTGTTTGCAACAAGTCATAACCCGTAACTCATATATGAAAAGATGAGCAATTTGTTTACTAATGATTAAAAGTTTTTTTTTTTTTATTAAAAAAAAAAAACCACCTCTATAGGCCTAAAGAKAGTTGTCTCCCATTCCTAGATCCTAAGTGTACAGTACATTTGAGGTTCAGGTACTTCAATGCTTTCTTCTTCACATTGGGATAGTGTCTTACATGCATAAACATCATCATCATCATATTAATTAGAAAGCTCTCTCTAAGCAGTAAGCACTAGCAAGCAACTTATTTTGTTGGAGGCTTGGAGCTTTAACAAAATCTGTTAGAGCCGTTCCAGTCCACTTCTTCTTGTGCAGTGACAGCTTTTTGTCCATCCGCTTCAATAATTTGAAAGCCGTTTCTCTGAAGAAGATTGATGATTTCAATCTGTCTGAACGCACTGAGAGTTGAAAAAAAAAAAAAAAATCAATTAGAAAGCAGATATATCAATATGTTGATAGCGCTAAACTGCTGCATCTTTAATTTGGGCAGAAAATTTTTTACCTTAGGCTGGGAGCTGGTTTTGGGGCCTCTGCAGGTTGAAAACGCGGGCCCTCGTCAAGTCCCTCGCATATAATTTCGCCGTTGCCATCCCTATAACAGACTATTCCCCTTGACTGATCTTCAAAAACCTGTTAGAAGCCAAAGTGTTGTTGACTTGAAGAACACACATGAGGATGAGGTGGCAAGGCCGACCCGCCTTGCTTTCTAACTAAAGAAAACAAGTAAACACAAAAGCTGGAAACATACAGAAAACGGATTGAAAAAGAAAAACAGTACAATTGGAGTAGAGCAGGATTAGCACCTTGTTTTCCATGGATGATCTGATCTGAAACCCAGCTGGTGATTTCTTGGCAGATGGTAATTGGATCTGTCTGTCTCGAAGCATAAAGATTCTGGTGACAGGCTTTTTGATTAAACCTGATTGAAACATCATATGGGGAGAAGAAGAACAACAACAACAACCTGTGGCCATTGAATTTGAAGCAGCCGGCTTTCAAGCTTCAAGTTTCAAGGGCACATGGATAAGAAGAAGAGATGAAGCTGGCGATGGTGGCTTCTGTTTAGTGTTTTAGGTGGCTGAAGCTGAATAATGGTTTTGGCTGTGGTGGGTTTGCCTTGTACCAGCAAAGTAAACGAAGAAAAATATTTAAAAGAGGCTAATTGTTTATATATTCTTATCTTAGTATGTAGATGTAAGTTGGTATATAATAGGCTTATCTTAGTACTGTTGATGGAGAATTGATACTTGTGGGCCCCTCTGATACGTCGATTCCACGACTTGGCTCTCTATCATGATTGGTGGAGATTCCATGTGCTTACATTATTGTTCACCTATCGCTATTATTTTATTGCCTATGTAGTCATGTACACATGTAATTCTTCCACTTGCTCATTATTTATTATTTTATTTGTTCAGTGTATGGCATTAATGGTGCTAGCGTATAAAGTCCAAACTCCCAAAAGAGTGAGAGATTGATCATAGGGAGAATGACGGTTCAGCCGGGTCAGAATTTTTAGGCCCAACTACTGTTAGGGTAGGTGTTAGCATACGGAATTGATGTTAATTTATGGGTGGGTATTGATATATAGAGTGTGAATATTTGACATTTTAAATGTTTATAGATTTGTAGTGGAATTCAGAAATCTACATTGGAGCTGTCCGTACTTTTCCATTGATTTCTTATGGCTCTGCACTCAATTTAGACAGAATCATTATTATAATTAAAATGTTTTATCTCGCTTTATAAATTTTTATTCATTTTATGGTTTTATTTACCAAAATTCCCACTTATTTCCTTGTGTTTTGATAAATTCCCATCATAAGTCATTGTTCCTCAAATCATAAAAACTTATGAGGTGGGATCATGGGAGAATCAATAAAATCCTTATAATTAATTAAATTTCAGTACGAGTATAAGTGAATTTATGTTTATTCACGCTTCAAACCTAATAGACTTTTACGTGAAGGAACATGTTAGAGAATAAAAACCTATTTAAGTATCTCATTTAACAACTTAAGCTTTTAGACTAAACAGTTCCTCCAACTAAGATAAAAGTTTATAATAGAAAAGATGAATTAATCTGCCCATTCCATCCAGCAAGAAGGAGATTCACAACTATGAACGGTTCAAACTGGTGAGGTTCATAGCTGATCGTGGCTCTGGCTCATGAGGTTAACAGTACAAAGTTTTACAACTTATTTTGAAGATTGGGGTGCCAAGTGCTATCTGTCCTGTTTCAGKTTTAAGCATTGGGTGTGCGCTACTGCTATCAAATCCAACATCATTCATACATGCTTAGATTTTAGCAACCAGTCTAATTCACTGTTGCCTCTGTCAAAACTCAACCACACTTGTTAACTCATCATGCTTCAATTTTGAATAGACCTTGAACTGACTAATATTTGTCTCTTCTGACATCGGTCTAGAGGTTATAAAGCAAGGCAACAAATCAAAGTTGACTGGTCTMATGGAATGGGCCGGGCTTTAGGTCAATAGTTTTGAACTTTACATAGCACTTGAGGGGGCATTCTACAACGAGTTCAGATCTGCACCCCACAACGTTTCACAGCACATACTCTTTATGTATTGGGAACTCTTCCAAAGATGACATCATCATTTCTGGCATATTATCGGGAGATATATCCAATACACAGCAGAGAAGTGCTGTGGGATATTGTGGGGCGCAGATGTGAACTCTTCTACAACATGAATGATTCTGTTTTCATTTATTTTTTGAATCATCACATTAGCACAAAAATAAAAGCATATTCTGTTTTTTTTTTTTGAAAGGAAAAAATAAATTGATTTTGTTTAGAAAAAAGCAATACATGTTTTTTCTAGTATAAAAATTTTATGATTTATGGAACATGAATTGAATAATCACATGAAAACATGTTTTTAAAACCAGATTCAAAAACACATTTTTTGTTTCAGTTTTAAAAACCAAAAGAAACACATAGACAATGAAGAACATGGTTCTTGTGTTTTTCTTTTAAGAAATATTCTGTTTCCAAACAAAATTATTTTGATTTGTTTTTGAAAGGGATAACAAGAAAAACAACTCCACCACCCGATCTGGCCTCTGTAATGATTGATTAGCAATTAGCACATGCCTTTCCAAAATAAAGAATATCTTACAGAATTGGGACCCAAAAATAGAGCTCTGTTTGTGATTTCCCTGTCAGATTTGCAGTAGGGTTGCTGCAAAAGGATTAAATCGAATTGGATAATAGTATATTTAAATTTGATTCATTTATATCCGAATTTGATCCACCCGATATGCAGTGGATTAGAATCAAATTCAAATTATAATCGGATATCAAATAGTATAAATAAATTAGACTAAAATGATCAAAATATCATATATTATTAATAAAATTACTTTAATATTATATTTTATGAACAAAATAATTAAAAATTGAACCTATGACAATTTAGTTAAAATACAACATTTAAATCAACTTTAATGATAGATATAATATAAATTTTAGGCATATTTGAAAGCACAGGCATCTACATACACATTAAGAATATTTCCAGTTTAATATAAATGTACGGGAAAAATTCTCAGTGCGGCTGGATGCCATGTATGCCGAGATTTTGCTTGCAGTTGCAGGAGATCCAAGCTTTGAACTGCAGCGGCTTTTGGCTTTGAAGTCCAGTTCAGCTCTCCCACAAGGGCCTTTAATATGCTTGGCCCGGCCCTAATTTTGGGCTGCATTTCTCCCAAACAGGCCTGCATCTAGCATTGAGTTTAGCGATGTTTTCGAACTGCCATTAATTCAGACGGTCAGATCATTTGGCCCGAGAACTATTCAGACAACCGATTTTGTTTAATCCCAAACTCAGTCCTTGCGCCCTGACAAAAAATCATTGAATCAGTCAGCAACAACCCCCTGCCCCAGGTGGTTGAACTGTTTTTTTTTTTTTTTGTTGGAATGAGTCATCCAACTGTCACCCAAAAACCTGTGGCCAGAATGATTTCAATTCCAAGTCAATTTTTAAAACCTTGGAGTTTAGGTTATACTCAGATTTCCCAAGAGCCTAATCCTAATTTAGTATATTGCAACACTAATTTTTGCATTTTATTTGTCACAATTTTTTTTGGTAATATGAAGACATGTATCCCCCTAATTGCTTTTTTTTTTTTTTTTTTTTAATTTGTCACAAATTTGACTCTAGTTTCTTTCTACCCAAGGTACTGTACATAAATCTGAGCTTTGATATTAGGAAAGTTCTGAAACAACTCTTAAGTTTGAATTGTCAACTCTCTTGGTTGGTAAGGTCTCTCTGGTTGGTAGCCTCTGGCTAGTTTGGAGGATGAGATGCCCCCATAATGTAGGCCCATGGAACCTAAAAAAAGTTTGAATTGTCACCAAAAAAACTTTTCCACTTGAGTTCTTAACTTGGAAGCTGTTTGGCATTTCCGGTGCTGGAAGTGTTGGAAAATACTGAAAAAATAGGGAGCAAAAAGAAAAAAGAAAGTTCCAACTTCCAAAGCTTGAGAATTAGTTCAATGATAACTTAAAATTAAATAGTTAAATATGCTCTAATCTGAAAATTCAACATAAATTAAGTCAATTTACTATTCAAGTAATAAGTATTGAGCCTAGAACCTCTTAAACGATAAACAAGGACTTAACCAGCTCAATTTACTAGCAAATATTCATATATCTGTTGTTTTGGAGAACAATATTGTTAACTTAAAAATAATCACCTATTTTTTTTCTGGTAATAATAACCACCTAAGTTTTGAAAAGCAAAGTTTTCAGATAGAAACTATCAACATTACTTGACTCATTTTTACAATCAAAATTGAAATTGAAGGGGGAAAAAAAGAAAATTTTATGTTCAACATGCCCAACGAGTTGTTAAACTTTGATTTTGGTATCTATGATACAATTGAGATCTATTAAGTGGACTTTAATCTACAAAAAAAAAAAAAAAAAATGTAACTTGTAATTTTTGAAAAAACCAAGATTCATAATGGTAGTCTGTCTCTCTCTCTCTTGTAGTGCTGAATATTGGATTAGGTGGTCCCCAAATCTATAGTTGACGTGTATGTCCTCCATTAATTTAGTCTGTCCTCGTGATGGAACCGTTAAATATGAACTTTTTTTTGTATTGGAGAATTTCAATCTAATGGTTGTAAACTTTGTAATCTATGAGGAAAATCCATTATATTCTCACAAGTTGGGCCCTGTCAAGGTTCATTCGCATGAAAGCAATATGTGATGCCCCATCAGAAAGAAAAGGGAAAATCACATAAACGTCCCCTACTTATATCCATATCCATAACCTTTAAAATTAAAAAATATGAATGATATTTGAATTTTCCGATTCTTTGTGACCAAAATCCCCTTATTTGCTAATTTGTCTCTATTTTATTGTGTGTGTTGGGGGGAGGGGGTAATAAAAAAGACATTTTATTATTCATTATAAAATATATTAAGTAATATGGAAAATTCCATATATGTAATGTGCATTTATTATTTAATAATTAGCTTTTCAAATTTCAAACAACATTTAGGTTGTATAACCTATTGGCATCTCAAATTACCATTTATGGTGATTCTAGTGGTATTAGATAGTGGTGTAACTCGTGCTGGTTCAACCAATCTAAACCGACTTAGCCCACATTTATTCATGGGCTGGGCTTCAATTTTCGGTCCTCAGACTGGGTATGGGCTCAAAACCCTATGATTTTTTATTTTTGACTGGCCTAGTTCTAGCCCTTAAGTAGTTTGAATCTGACACAAACCCAACCCTATCTTAGCCAAACCTGAGCCCAGCTCAATTACATACATATACAAAAGTACATAAATACATGCGTGTATGTTTACATACAAAACTGCATAAATGGATGTTTATATTGAAAATATACAAAATTTATATTTAAATATTTAAATTAGTGATACTAAATAGCTTGACGCAACTTTGTTAGTGTATTGGGCCTAATAAGCTTGCTGCAGACCAATTGACCAACCTAAACCCTGCCTTTAGGTTAGACCTAGATTGGGCTTAATCTTGGCCCAGTCTGGGCTTGGGCCAACGTCCAATATTTAGCATTGGGCTTGGGTTGACCTTAAACTTAGCCCAAGTCTAGCCATCGTTGAAATTCAAGGCTAGAAAAAGAACATTGCTAAATTTACTAATTAA